AACATTAGTTTAATTGAGAGTGACCAAATAATAAGAGAATGAATTGAAAAAAACACACTATAGAATGAAATTATGAATACAAACTAATTTTTGAATAAACCAAACAATTCTAACATATGTTACTACCTGTGGGATCATAGGCATGCTTTTAGTCAGAGTTAAATAAATATAATCTCAATGGAAGCTAGAAAACGTCAACGAAATTTGATAAAACTTCAATACCACAGAAAATATTGTGAAAATAATAAAAAATAGATATGGCAGTAATAAACAGCTGATAAAATATTGTTCGAGACAGGAGAGGTATTCCGAATGAATAAAAATTAATCACGTGATGATTAGAGCATATAATTATGTGCTTAAATCGCAAGAGGTTGTATGAATCGAGTGCCACACAACTCCATGGCATGCAACATGTTCAGGTGCCAGGTGTCACACACTTGAATTTCTTGGAAACAATTCTACAAGTAGTGTATATGCCACACAAGACCCATATCAAATATGATGACATGAGACGAATGGCAATTGACCTTAGGGCAAATGGCAATCCAGATCTTGTTAGAGAGTCACAACAATCACAGTGATAGTGATATTTTTTTCCTTTTCTTGAAAATCGATTTAAACATAATCTGCAAACCCCATGATCTTTAATAAACAGTTACAGCTTTAATAAAAGGTCATCTGGTTGTGTTTCATGGGGGTGTATCCAGAATATTATTTCACTCAGTTTAAAAATAATAAAAAGAAAAATAATAAAATAAAAAAAAAATGTACCAGATTTTACAAATCTTCTGTTTTGTTGGGGTTAATAGAAACCTAACAAACCCCCTCTGTATCTGCACTGGTTTACATGTTTTGTATACATGTATGTCACTAAGACCCTTTAATTAGCATCCTCAAACCGGCAATTGAAAACTGTGACTCCTAGTAGCTTTCCCTGTGCATCTTCAGTTGTAATTAATATAAAATTTATAAAAATACATAAAAGATGATTAGGTATTACTAATAAAAAACACTGAACAGTGATGTAATAATTGCACCAGAGTTTTATAAATGTATTGAATGCATTAACTAATGTCAAATATACAATGGCATATATAAAACATTTGAATGCAAGGCAAAGTGATGACTGTGCTGAGACGGTGAACATGATAAACATAAAAAAACCTACCCAATCATTCACTGAACATGAAATGTGTAGGTAAACAGAAAAAATACTCTAACTTTGCCCATTCACTCTAATCTTTGCCCATTCACAGAACACGAAATGTGTAGATGAACATAAAAACAAAGAAACTACCCTATCTTTGCCCATTCACAGAACATGAACTGTGTAGATAAACATAAAACATAGAGAAATTATTCAAGCATTGCCCATTGACTTAATATGAAACATGCAGATGAACATAAAAACAGAGAAATGATTCAAGTCTTGCGGATTTTATAAAACCCAGATATTTATAATGAAA